GAGGAGGAGGGAGGAGGAGGAGGGGAGGAGGAGGCGGAGGAGGAGGAGGAGGAGAAGGAGGAGGAGGAGGGAGGAGGAGGAGGAGGAGGAGGAGAAGGAGGAGGAGGAGGAGGAGGAGGGAGGAGGGAGGAGGGGGACGTGGCTGAAGGACGGCCCGAAAACCAGGGCCCCCAAGGCCCCATGTAGCCCCTATGTCCGCGCCCTGGCTGTTGCCCAAGCACACAGCAGCAATGACGACAATCACGGCGCGGCGAGAACCCGGCGCGCTGGCAGGATGCGCGAGACAGACCCCCGGAGTCACGCGAGGGCCAACTTGCAACAGGCAAGCCAACGAGCGAAACCTCGGCCCCAACGCGCGCAACCTTGGCCACCTCAACGTCTTGACTTTAAATTAGCGCAGCTGTCCACCCTGAGCATCTCGTCGAGTATCCGCCGGGCAGGAGCTGCTTCTCGGCTCTGCATTTTGGCGGATCTGCGCTGCAAGGTAAGCGGCCACAGAACCACGACGGTCGCGTTCTGGGGCGATCGGGTTTCCACTGCCCTGGCAAGAGGGCGGCCACACGGAAGGGTGCAACCGTCCCAAACATGTTCGCATCGTGAGAAAAGTCAGGACGGAAAATTGTTCATCGTTTTCGGCATCTGGGGGCCCTCGCCGGGCCCGGGACCGTCAAAAAACGACTCAGGATGAAAAACTGGTGCTGGGAAAAGGGTCGGGACTTCCAGGGACTGCGCATGAAAAAATCTGGACATCGCATGTCTGGGATCTCTATTTCAAAGGGTGCCACCCTCTTTCAGGAAGCCATCCCACTGAGTGGGGCGGCCTCGGCTTCAGGGAGGCATCCCCCTTTGCATGAGAACATCCCCGCGCTCCTGGAACCACCCCCCGGAGCGCCTTGATCCCCACCCGACAGACGTATGGGGGGGGGAGATTTGAAGAACAGGCCTCCTGACCAGCCAACCCTGCATACCGCAGCCGCCACATCCCCAGGACGACCAATGGTCCCGCGGGGATCCCTTTGTGAGCCGCCAATTACCGCTGCCGCCAGACTCCCAGGACCAACCGGGATCCCGCCGGAATCCCTTTGCGGGCCGTCACATAACAAAACGTAACATGTCACAGCATAACAAAACAAACGAGAACACAATAAGAATAGGGCCGACCATAACATAACAATACATAATATGATTACATACACTAATATAGACAAGAACAGGCTAAGCCGTAACAAAACAGTTCAGAACATAATGTAGTTCGACGGCCCATCGTGCCAAAGGCGTGCTAAGATCTCCAACAACATGTTAATTAACAACGTTTCTGTGTCGCGCGCGCAGGACGGCCCCTGGGGGGCCCCAGGCGAACAATATGCCGGACCCACCCCCGAGCAGGTCAGAGGCATCTCCCGGGCGGTCGGTGTCACGAATCCGGAAACTCGGGATGGGGGTCCTCAGGCCCCCGAGAGCGCCCCACGAGCGCCCCGAGGGACCCCAAGAGAGCTCCAAGAGGGCATTCGCATCGGGATCCACGGGTGGCGGGTTCCACGGTAGCCTCCGCACACTCCTTTAAAGGCTCCAAGGTAGCCTTCAAATAGAAGTACCGCACCAATCGGCCCCCAAGAGGCCAAAATTCACAGATCCTGCTTAGGCTTATGACAGATTTTGGCGCTACTGCATTTTCAGCCTTTGGACCGCCGAAGACAACCCATTCAGCCCGCAAGATTACCACAATTCGAGCCCAGAGGCCCCCAAGAGAGGGCCCAAGAGGGCACCAAGACGGCCCCAGAGGCCTCCCACGACGCCTCCGAACACCCCAAGAGGGTCCGAAGAGGGGAAACCCTTGCCAGACAGATGGCCCCCCACACCACCAGAAAGCCCCCAAGAGGGCCCCAAGAGACCTCCAAAAGGCCCCAGAGAGGCCCCAGAGGCCCCCAAATGTATGTTGTTCCTATGTTCCCCGACACCCCACCCCCACTGGGAATGGAGGGCAAATTGGGGCCGTCGGATTGGATTGGGGTGGTTTGTTGGGTGGTGACCCAGAGGCCCCCAAGAAGTTCCAAAGAGGCCCCACGAGGCTCCCAAAATCCCCCAGGCAATTGGCAACGATGTTGCAATGAGCTCCCTGGAGGCTCCCAAGACGACCTGGCCCAAGAGGGCCTCAAGGAAATTCCAAGAGGGGCCCAGAAGGGGGGACACGAACAGCCATTTCGAGCCATCTGCCCCGAGACGCCCACGACTGCTCACGCCACACTTCAAAGACCCTAACATCACCCCTCAACGCAGCAGTGGCAACGAGCACGCGAGCAAACGCCTGCGATGGAATGATATTGGCCGGCGGAATGAGCGAATCGACAAAACATGATATAATATAACAGAACGTGGGATTTCATAATACTATGTAGCGGCCAATGTTTCACTAGAACTGAAAAGAACCACACATATGCAATAGTTCGGCAGTCCGAACATGCAGGAAGATGATATGATAAACACTAGAGACGATGACCGCCACGGGAACCTGTTGTTAAATTGAAAGTACTTCGCAACAAAAGGCTTCAACAAACAAAAAATGCGTTCGCACTCTTGCGCGTTATTTTTGTATCTGGAGAGCAGCAATACTAATACACCTGGCAAAAAGTTATAGTGGCATTCGTTGCTACACGTATCTTAACAAGGAAAACAGCACCCCGAAAACATCTTCGGCGCAAACAAATGGATTTGCAACTGCAGGTTTCGAAAAAGCTGCGCTCGCGCTCGTGCGAATTCTTCCAGAGCCCATGGGCTCTTTCAACGTTGTCGTCAAAATCTGTTTTAAAACTGATCTTTCGGGCCATGCCGAACTCATCCGAACGCCCCTGCGCGCGTGCTGGGGGAGGGCACGAGTCGTGCAAATAACACCATGCGGGCCACTCGCGCGCGTCAGCCGCGCGCGCATGTCGAACTCTTGCCATAACCTTCGTCACCGACGCGAGGACATCGTCATTGTTATTGGAGGGCGTGATCAACATCGGCGCCGTCATTGGCCTCGTCGTCGTCATCGCCACCATCGTCACCAGTATCGCTACTCCCGTCAGGGTGTCTACCGTTGTCGGCGTCGCCATGATACTGGGTCCGCCCAAGCCACCGACTCCCACAGAAGTGCCCGCTGGGAAGTGCCCAGTGGTCAGCGCCACCGCGGCCGCGTCGGTCGCGCCGCACTAGCTGGCCGCTGCACGCGCGACCATGCGCGGGCTAGCGCGGCCGCAGAAATGCACCAGCCAACGCTAAGCACTCATCGCAATCGCCGTCGCATGGGTTTTGCAAACCAATTTGCGGGTGGGTGAGTGGGATTATTGCGCGAGCAGTGGAGTTGACAACTCACTGCGAGCGTCGGTGACTTGCACAACGTCGATTCTCCGTTCGGAAAAAGTATTACGATCAACCCCCCTGACTTAACGGGCCCCCTTTCTCGTATTGCAATATACAAATGACTCTGCCCCATCGTCCATCCGAAATATGAATTCGTACCGTCCCTGCCAAACCGGCAATGCCCGCCCCTCATCCTCTGCCACCAAAAACTATGCGCGCACACTCGTTTATCGCAAATCATAGGTTCTGAAAAACACCTTGCAACAAATTGCACGAAGTGCACACGCTAGACGGCCCTAAAGGCTCCCACAACGGCCCCAAGAGAGTGTCCAAACGGGAGCCCGAACGAACATTTCGAGCTCTCGGCCCCGAGAAGCTCCCAGGAGGCGCCCAAGAGGCCCCCACGGGGCCCCTAGAAGCCCCCAAGAGGCCCCCAGGAAGCCCGAAGGGACCCTCAAGAGGCTCCCAATAGGCCCCTAAGATGCTCCCAAGAGGCCCCGAAACTGCCCTCCAGAGGTCTACGAGCACGCTCCGAACAGGCTCCACGAAGCATCACTGAGGACTCTGCCCCACGTGAGAGTCATCGTCGCCGCCGACGCCGCAGTCGTGGTCGTCGTCTCCCTTCAGGATCGGCGGGACCGGCCGTATGGCGTCGAAGTATAACATAATTGATAAGAACGGAAATGAACACTCAAGAATACAACAACGTCCGATTGACGGCGTCCTATCCAACGCAGCATGCGCGCCGACATAAGGCCGTGACAGAAAGTAACGTAACACAAAACAACGAGACGCTAACAAAGCAACATATAAGGTAGGATTATAACAAAAATATTAGGAGAGAACATAACATATTTGGTGACGTAGCAGACGTGGCAGGAATCACGAGGTCACGCCGGTTTGCCGAGAACAGTGACGGAAATTAGTCACTTGGACAGAACTGTACATACCAGAACAATGTATACTTTAATAGCGGCATGAACAGCCCATGACTACACAGCAAGCGCTCCACGTTCAACCCCATAACACATTCCAGGCGTTACGACGTCACGCTGGCCGCACAACGCCCGAAACGCATCCAGCAAGTTGTCGGTGGGGATCTCTGGTATATGCTGAGAGCGAGAGGCGCCTTCGATAAGTCGGTGCTCCTTTTGCTTAGACGGGGCCCCACACTGAACTACGAACGACAAAGAACGAACGCATAGGTTCACGAACAGCCAGTGGCAAACGACAACAAGCAGCCCATTTCACCTGAATCAACTGGCCAAACCACGGGAGAGCCCACATCATACGTTCCTGGAGGAAGGAGAGCACACGAAGGGGAGGAAGGCGAGGACGAGGAAACGGACGAGGGGGACAGGGGCGCAGGATGACGAGGACAGCGGGGAAGAGGATACGGGAGAGCGTGCGAACGAAGGCGAACGGGAGAGTGGTGAGGATGATGGGGAGTTGACGAACAGGAGGAGGATGGGGAAAAGGAGGAGGAGGAGGAGGAGGAGGAGGGTGGAGGTGGAGGAGGAGACGACGACGAGACGAAGAGGAAGGTGGAAAAAAAGGCAGGTGGAAGAGGAAGAGGAGGATAGCGAGAGGACGCCAACGACGACAGCAACAAAGCAGGAGGACGGCGGCGAAACAAACCGAAGTCTGCTCGGGCAGGAGGCCTCGAGTTCCGGCATGACGCTGTCAAGAGCCAGCATGGAGCCGCACCTCTCAGCGCCCACGCCTTCGTCATCGTGTTCGTCCCCCTTCTCTTCATCATCATCAACATCATCATAATCATCAGCATCGTCATCATCATCGTCATCGTCATAAGCATCATCATCATCATCATCGTCATCATCATCATCATCATCATCATCATCATCATCATCATCATCATCATCATCATCGTCATCATCATCGTCAGCGTCAGCATCAGCATCAGCATCAGCAGCATCATCATTGGGAGCATCATCGTCATCAGCAGCATCAGCACCATCATTATCGTTATCGTCATCATCAGCATCAGCATCAGCAGCATCATCATTGTCATCATCAGCAGCATCATCACCATCAACATCGCCATCGGCATCGTCATCGTAATCGACATAATCATCATTATCATCGTCATCGTCATCATCAGCATCACCATCAACAACATCAGCATCATCATCAGCATAATCAGCATCATCGTCGTCAGCAACAGCATCATCAGCAACAGCAGCATCACCAGCATCATCATCAGCAGCATCACCAGCATCATTGTCATCATCAGCATCAACATCACCATCATCAGCAGCAACATCTTCATCATCAACATAATCATCATCAGTATCAACATCATCAACATCAGCATCAGCATCATCAGCAGAATCATCATCATCATTATCGTCAGCATCATGAGCATCATCATCAGCAACAGCATCATCAGCAACAGCAGCATCACCAGCATCATCATCATCAGCAGCAGCAGCATCACCATCGTCATCATCAGCAGCAGCATCGTCCCCCTGACACCCTCCCTTCTCCTCCTGACCCTCATCCTCACCTTCATCAACTTTCTCTCTTCCTCCCCCACCTCCACCACCTCCACCACCACCACCACCACCACCTCCTGCTCCTGATCCTGCTCCTACTCTTGATCCTGCTCCTGACCCTGCTCCTGATTCTGCTCCTGCTCCTGTTACGCCTCCTTCTCCTCCTCCTCCTCCTCCTCCTCCTCCTCCTCCTCCTCCTCTTCCTCCTCCTCCTCCTCCTCCTTTTTCTCCTCCTCCTCCTCCTCCTCCTCCTCCTCCTCCTCCATCCCACCTCCCGCCTCCCTCTCTCGTTCCCTTCCTCGTGACAGTTCCTTCCCTCGTTCTTCTTTACCTCGTCTGTCTTCCTCCACCCCCCCCCCCATCCCACTCCCTCCTTCCTCCATCTCGCATCCCTGCCCTCGCCCCCATCCCTCACCCCCCAATCCGCCTTCTTCCCCCGACCCCACTCAGCATGGAGGGGAAACAAGCGGGCGAGGGAGAGGAGGTCGGAGACCAGGGTGGAGAGGCCAGGGGGGCCCGAAGAGCAGGAGCGAGGCGATGGCAAGGAGGGCGAGGGCGAGGCGAGCGGAGACCGAGGAGGAGGAGGCGGAGGCGGAGGGGGACGGCGACGACGACGACGACGGCGACGGCGGCGGCGGTTGACGGCGGCGGTGCAGCGCGCGTCAGCATCACGGACAAGATGCCCTTGATCGCCGCGTCCACCTTGACCTCCGCCGACGCCGGGCGGGCATCGCGCCCAGGGGTGCGGCGGGAGCCGAGCTCTGGGAGCACCTCGGAGGCGGCAGGGAGGGGAAGGGAGGGGAAGGAGGCGGGAGGGGGGGAGTGAGGAAGGGAAGGAGGGAGGGAGGGAGAGCGCGGAGGGTGAGGGAGAGCGCGGAAAGGAACGAGAAAGAACAGGGGGAAAAAAGAACAGGAGGGGAGAAGGAGGAGGAGGAGGAGGAGGAGGAGGAGGAGAAGAAGGGGGAGGAGGGCGAGGACAAGGCGAGGTTGGTAGAGAACGCGGGACGCGGAAGGCAAAAGGAGAAAAGGCTATGCGCCTTACCCTTCCTCTGCATCCAGAAAAGGGAAGAGATTGAGAAGGAGACCCACAAGAGAAATAGTCAACAGAAGATGAAGAAGACGAAGAAGAAGAAGAAGATGAAGAAGAAGAGGCGGCGGCGGCGGCAACAAGAGAAGGGCAGTAGCAGCCCCGCCAACGACGCCGTCGTCGGCGACGGCGGTAGCGGTAGCGGCAGGAACGAAAGGCAGCGGCAGCGGCATCACATGTGCCAAACATGACAGCACAGCAACGGCGGCAGCAACTGCTGTGGCGGTGGCAGCCGCGCGAGGGCGCTGGGAGAGCCTGCGCCAGGGCGTTTTTCAGCCACGCGTGCATCTGCGAGCTCTTCTCCATGCCTGGCAGCTTGCCCATGTCCTCGTCAAGGGGGGATCGCTGGAGTGAAGACCGTGGCCCAGGGAGGCAGAGCAAAGCAAGTCGAGGCGGTTTGCGAGCCTGCTTTGGTGCCACAGCGGTACCCTGGAGGGCACACGGAAAACACATGCGCTCTGCATGCCATCAATGAACCTCCCCATCGCAGGCGTGAGCTACTGGGGCTCCCTCTGGCGTCCGTATGGAAGCACGGCGCTGGGAGGGAGCAGGGAGGAGGGGCTGGAAAGTAGGAGGCGGCAGGGGGGAGGCAGGAGAAGGAAGAGTTTGGAGGAGAGAGGAACGAAGGATGAGGAAGGCGAGGAAAGGGAAGGGAGGAGGAAGAGGATTGGGAGAGCGGAGGATTGGGAAAGAGGAGGACGCTGGAGTCGCACCCACTCCAAGACCTGCCCAAACGCAACCATGGCTCGAGAGAG